GTGCTGAAGCGCGCCATCAAGACCCTGTGGACCATCATGGAAGGCACAGACCAGATGTGGCTGCCTGTGATCCGTACCTGGCGCCTGAATGAGCGTCACTACGGAGGCCTCACTGGTCTCAACAAGGCCGAGACGGCGGAAAAGCACGGTGAGGAGCAGGTGAAGATCTGGCGCCGCTCCTTTGACATCCCACCTCCACCCATGGACAAGGACCACCCTTACAACAAAATCATCAGTGAGGTGAGTGCTCCAATGTTTGCTAAACAGTCAGTTATGTCACTTCTGTTTATTATTGTGGGAGTAAACAACCTTCTACTGTTCCGGCTACCTCCAGTCCCGGCGCTACAAGAATCTGAAGCCCGGTGAGCTCCCCACATGTGAGTCACTGAAGGACACCATTGCCCGTGCCCTGCCTTTCTGGAATGATGTCATCGCCCCTGAAATCAAGGCGGGAAAGAACGTTATCATCGCTGCCCACGGCAACAGCCTCCGTGGCATTGTCAAGCACTTAGAGGGTGAGCATTGCAGTTTGTAAGTGGACAAAGCTTTAAAAAAAAAAGCAGATAAAGAAGAAAGTTCTGGAGTGAAAAGCAGAGTTGAATGCTGACTTTAAATAATACAGCTTTAAATAACACCATAAAGTGGCAAATGGTAAATTAACCAAATATTTCAGTTTGAAAATAATTTTCATAGCATTTGCATAGAAGGCCAAGGCTTAAATAATCATAGCCAGACACTTGTCTTTACACACACACACAAACCCACACACATACACCCACATACACACACAGAGTTGTGGATTACGGTGCATAAAAATAGCATGCAGGGACTCTCACACTAGAGCTCAGGGACAGGGTCATGAGCCTGGTTCCCATTACAGTCACGACCTTTATGTAGAAAGGTTGTACTTTTTCGAGGAGTTGCCAGACATAGATAAGGGAGTTATAGAGCCAGAGAGCCTCAAGGGCAATACTAAATGTCAGACAGGAGTGGTAGATGTCAGGAAGGATAAGAGAAAGAAGTAGATCAAAGATTATAAATTGCAAATTACTGTAATCGAAATAACCTAAAATGCAATCAGATATATAGAAAATCTGCCCTGCTGACTACTTGTGTTATGTAAGACCCCTGTCCTTCCTGTCTGCCTAGCTGGGCCCCAGACAGCCTTTTACTGTATCAATTACATTCCCTCTGTCCTGTCTGCCTGTCTTCCCAGGTATGTCTGATGCAGCCATCATGGAGTTGAACCTGCCCACAGGAATCCCAATTGTGTATGAGCTGGACGCAAACCTGAAGCCCATTAAGCCCATGGCTTTCCTCGGCGATGAGGAAACCGTGAAGAAGGCCATGGAGGCCGTGGCTGCCCAGGGCAAAGCCAAGAAGTAAAAGCCTGACTCTGGAGGCTCCACGAGGAAGCAGAGAAAAGAGACTGTTCCCCCTTTGTCCTTTAGCCTTTCCCCTCCGATCCATTTGTCCATCCTTGTAGTCCATTCCAACTGGGGAAATGTTTAATGGTTCTTTTGGAGACGGGCCATTTTCAGCACATTAGTCCTGTTTGTTTAAATGGCAGACTGAGGGATGACCTGCCAATCAAAGCAGACATCCAGGCCCCACATTCTACCCCACTCAGCCCTTTTAAATTGTGGCGAAGCCCTGTATGCTGAGGGCCTCACCACCCTGGCACAACCAATAAAGAAACCATGTTTTTATGTAGGCCTGTGTCTGTTTAATTTCTCTCCTTTTTTTCCCTTTCTTTAAATTACATTACCATCCTTATCTATGACTTTTATTCCTCTTCAGTTTCCCATTTGGAAATAAGTGGTTTCAGCAAAGTGCAAAGGTGGTGTGAAATCTTATGCAGGAGGTAGAGAGGAAGGGGAGGAGGAGGAGGAGGGGAGAGAGAGGAACAGAGTCTGAGAGACAAGTCAGTGGGTTCATCCTGGCAGCATTCCCACGATGCAGGAAAGAGAGTTTTTGCCTGTCCTCCTCTATAGTTAGATCCCAGTGAGAAGCACACAGAGGAAGACTCGCTTCAGGCAGTTACCCATCAGAAAGAAAGAAGCCTAAAGAGAACACCTGAATAAATGAGTGGAGGATCATAACTAATACATGTGCTTTTATGGGTGGTCTCCTTCAGGATGATAGGCCTCCATCTACAGGACACAGGATCAATGAATGGCTTGATGAGTATGTAAAGTATGGATATCATATGATATGACCTTTACAGTCACCAGTTTGAACCCCAGTCCAGATGTTAGACTGATGATACAAAGCAGTCTCCTCCACCACCGCCGTCAAAACGCTGAATGAGGAAGTATTTTTTGGAAACTAATCATCCCTCCAGTAGGGTTGCAGATATCCCATGGAGAACTGAAGCTGTTCTGTTGTGGTGGCCAAACTGAGACACTCCATGTTGTTTTTGTTTTTTCCTTTAATTTTACCCCCATATGTATGTACATCAACATTTAAACCTTTTAGTGCAGCATTCCTTGTACTTACAAGGTTAAGAGGAGGATTGCTTTATCATTTTACAACACAGGGTTGTATAAATAGATTAATGAAGGGACATAGGAACAGTTGTGCGTTTAGCTAAATGCTAATGTCAGTATGCTACATGGTATATTGCCAATGCTACAATGCTGTTTCATAGGTATGTTTGCCATCTAACTTTAGCATGTTAGCATTAACCATTAGTGCTAATCACAAAGCACAGCTGAGGCTGATGGGAATGTCATTAGTTTTGCAGATAGCCATAACCCAAATAGAACAAATAGAACAAATTGACAGGATGATGGCAGCAGACACCCTGAGGCTAAAAACACTTTAATGAGTCAGTGTAATGTTTAATTTCTTGATATTTTGTAAATAGCTTAAAACATGTCACAGCTGGATACATTTTAGACCTCTGGCTATTTTTTTGTACATCACACATAATGATTGATTCCAGTAGAAAACAGCAATCCTTTCCCCCCTTTAAATCACCTTAACATAAAGCACCAGTAACACATTATTCACAGTGGCCACATTGGTTTAATTTAGGATTGGCACGGTCTTATTTCATACTAAGATATTACACACATTTCTTTTTGAGTATTAGACAACATGACATTACATTATATTTCATTAGTAAAACCACAGTATCACAGACAAAAAAAAACAGACAGAGTTCAGCAGGACTGCAAAGAGGAAGGTGAATGATCCTGGTTCAGAGTTTTAACTAATGTTGTCATGCCACCTACTGGCCAATAATGGGAGGACCAGCTAACAGTAAGTGAATACATGATCAGACCAAACTAGAAGGTGTCTTGCATTCATGGCATTTTACTTTTGTTTGTTTGTTTTAACCAAGTTTAATCCCAGAATTGGTAGTCAGTAAACAGACAAATTAGTTTAAATAATGATTTGTTTGTCCTTTTGACAGTCCACAGGTAAACTGGAATTCAAGCCTTGTCCACAGCATACTGTCACTTTCACTTGACAGGTCATTATCATAGCAGTTCAAATTCACATTTAAGTTTAAAAAACAACAACAACAACACACAGCTTCCTCATTATCCTTTAGAAAAAAAGGCATCTGAGTAGGCAGACAGGCACTGTACCTTAAATCAGATGAAAAGTGTGTTCCATCAAGCACAGGCTTTGATGTTGATCAGGATTTTTGGTGCAGTCAATGTTCAAACAGTTTCAGGAGCTCATTCATGTTTTAAGTCTGAGGTGTTTTGATCAGTTTTAGCAGTGGTTTGCCTCTTGAAGGGCTTCAAGAAGTTCGGGAGAGATGCTATCTTGTAAGGGTTTTTCTTGTACGTGACTGCTTTATAGGTTTCGTCTTTGGACACGTCTATATACTCTGCAGCACTCGTCACATTCTTTTCTATGTTGTTGATCAACTCCCCCTGATAGAAGAAAAAAACAAAACCAACACCAGCCAGGTTTTGGGTTCCATGACATAAGTACAGTCCTTTATAACCGTGGTTATTAAACATTTCCAAATGAGGCATTTTACCTGAGTCTCCAGCAACATGGCAGTGTCAGCAAATATCTCGTGCATCTCTCTGATGCTGGACTCGAGACAGATGATGTCCTGATGACGAGATTCAATCTCACTCAGAGCCTGGCTTGAAATCCGAGCATTAGAGTTGATCTGTGAAAGGAATCGGTTTTAGAATCGTCATCTAAACATCTTCACATTACACTTTAACTGCATGTGCAAGTGATCAAGAGGAAAAATAGAACCACAGTAGGTATTACTAACGATAGCCTAGTCATTTGTGTTGCCCAGAACTGAAGGAAATCTCACTAACATCAGATATGAAGATGGCAAGATCTTCACGGTGCAACATCTCCTCCAGCTCGTCATCTGTAGTCACTTTATCCACTGAAAAAGAGACAAGGCTGACATGTTAAGGTGGTTGTACAGGGTGTACAGGTTCGTTTAACAGTCTGTCATATCAAAAACATCCCTTTAAACAGAAGTGCATAGGCTTAAATGACCTATCACAATATTGACAATCACAATCTCATGAAAAATTATCTATATTATATTTTCACTGACACAAAATAACATTGTGTAGTGAGCTAACAGGAAGTATGTCCTGCCAAGGCACAATGAACAAGATTGAGCATGCATTTATGGATGTTAACCACAGGATGGCGCAATTACACCTCTGGTCCCCTCTCCTGCTGTGCCACTTTCTCCTCTAGGATTAAAGCACAACCTGTGCATGTGTGTAATCTGAAATCATTTAAGACAGATAATTAAATCGAACACTGAGCTTCTTACTCGTAATAATAATGTGGAAGAAGAGCTGCAGTATTAGTAAAGTAACACCACGTTTCCTTGGTAATAAAGAGTTGGCAAGGGCTCCTTCCTTTCTAAAATACAATACTGATACTTGCATGATAAAATCTTGGTGTATGATAGGAAGTCCATTTACACAACACTGAGCAGAGTGGGAGGAGAACAAGTGTTTATGTTTTGGTTCCATGTGGTTTTGGTTACTCACCTATCTCTAGTTGTCTCTGAATTTGTGCTTTGCATTTCTCCCTGAAGGAGACTTGCGCCTTATGGTGGCCCCTCATGACTTCAGCAAACCACCGAGTCAGGTGAGAGTGCTGATAAAAGGCAGAACTTCAAATCAGATTATTGAACCTCAAATGAAAAAGAGTGAGTTCTAATATCAATCTTGTACACAGATCACTGTCAGTGGTGGTTTTGTGAGGTACATAAAGACTAAGGCATCTTTGAATTAAATCATTTGGTGTTATAGGATTATTTCCCCAGTGGTTGTAATAAACTCAGAGTTGAGCATCTTTATGCAACTGGCTTTTCACAGAAAATACAATTACTGGCATACCTGGTTCTTCTGAATACGCTGGATTACTGAAGCACCTTTACAGTTCTCATCCGCAGGAATGTCCTTCTGCATTGCTGGAAGAACACATCAGACAAATCTAATATGAAAACAAGCACAGGACCAATTTAAAACCTCAATTAGCACTCAGACACACTAGTCACAGCTTACAGAAAGTTAAAATGTTTCTGTAACTTCTGTACCGTCATAAAATCTGGGTTTTATTAATCTGAGACAGTGTGTTCAGAGCACAGTTCAGTAGCCTCTCTCCATTTGCAAGTCAAATCCTGTGTTATGAACTATGCAGTCCCAGAATTTGAGGAAGTGTGACGTGATGCACAGTTCCTCGTCGTCTCAAACAGCCACACACATTTACAAACTCTGTATGAAAAACTACACTGGTTGTGTTACGCCACAACTGCAGTATGAGACAAATCAATCGCTGCGGTACAAAAACACATTGTGCAAGGATTACAAAATACTTATCTCCCCTCACATTTTAACTTGGCTCGGACCAAGTTGGCGTTCTTCTTGGTCTCATTGTTCAGCAGCTCCAGCTCGCCCTTGTTTCCTGAGAACAACACAGGTTCACTTCACAGAGGGAACCATATCAGCGTTCAATCTGTCATCAAGGTGTATATATGTATCATGCTTATTATCATCAATGTGTAGCAGCATATGCAGGTTCTGTATCTACATACATGCATTGACACATGTTCAAATCTTGTGTTAAAATTCAAATAATGTCCTAAAATGACCTAAGCATGATGTGATGGTACCCGTGGTGACGTGGTTTGTTTATTTCTAAGCATTAACCGACAGAAAACCTGTCTCTACAAACATGCACAGTGTTTGTCAAAGGCTGTTTGGCCTTTTGTTTGTCTTCTCAATGTTGTGTGCCCTGAAGAAGTAGAAAGATCTGTGCACAACAGTGAAGGTATCAAGTTTCTCTTTTCTATCAGCTCTGACTGATATGCACTAAGATGCTGGTTCTATATACATAGCGTACTCTTGTCTTGGTTTGGAGTGGAAATGATGGCGCCATGTCTCCTCTCCACCTCCTCTGCTTGAGAGGAGATTGTTTCAATGAGGCCTCTCACCTCCCCCACCTACACACACACAAGACAAACATTTACAATAGGCGGATAGATATGACAAGACGTAAACTGACACAAGCTCTGTGTGTGTGTGTGTGTGTGAGAAGTTTACCGTTTTGAAAAAATCCTCCATGTTGACTGTGCTCCCCGCTGTATCTGTCATATCATCCCGCTGCTGCTTAGAAAGAACGAATGCTTAAAAATGGCCACCTGTTGCGCCGCATAAACAGTCATTTAAACGTTGCTAGCACCCGCTACATTTAATACACACAATTCAAAAATAGCAATACGCTTTAATACGCTGCCAGACGCTACACTAGCAGGATGAATTAGCCATTTTTATCTGCTCACGAAACGTGAAGTTAACTCCCCAAAACTGTTGCTGATAAATACTTACAGCTGCCATGCTCCCCGAATTATTTATACAACAGAGAAGTAAGACATCCTCGGTATTCCTGTTACTTTCGGTATTGGCGGAGAGGCTCGAGCTTACCTGCAGTGAGTCCTCCTGTGGGCTGAGCGCACCTGTGCCATAAAAAGCGCGGGCACGCAGGCGCGTTACCGTCGAACCGGCAAACAAAGGAGTCCCCTGCGCGTTCAAGCGGCAGGTACAACGGAAACATGTCTCTGTTGTATCAAACGGAGCTGTTCAGTGGGTTTCAAAGCGGTGTTGTCGGCTTATATTATCAGCGAAATGCAGGTATACTCAAAGTATCCAAAGAAAAAGGATTCATTGTGTAGAAAAATGGTTTTATATATGATCTGCTTTAATGTCTATTTTGCCTTTTACTGCTGCAGATGTTTGAGGTTGAGCTACTTTATATACTGCTGGGTGGTTACTGCACTGCGTCGTAAGAGCACCATGTTTGTTGTGCTCTAAAAATGTAACTTTTCACGAGTTCAGAAAAGCAGCCCTGTTTTTATGACAATGCATTTTCCAGCAAATCCTTCTAACAAATCCTAGAGGGGTTTGAATAGTTTATTTCATGTAAGAAATAGGAGAGTTCTCTTAAATCATTAAGGAACACCAAAGTCCTCCAGTTTATCATTTTTTAAAAAGAAAATTTCAAATAAAAAATCATGGTTTCCACTGGACAGGAAGAGTATAAAAAATTCTAACCTGAAAATTAACTAGCAGCAAAAAAGTACAGTATTTGCCACTAAGTTATAATGTAGAGTATAGTGTATTTATAAAGTATAAAGTTACATGCAAATTGTGTATTCAAGTGAACCTCAAAATTTGTATTCAAGTACAATACTTGAGTAAATGTACTTAATTACATTCCACCACTTTCTTAGATGTTAAGTTACACCAAATGTTCTTGGTTTGGTTGATTCCGGCAAATTGTAATGCAACATTTGACTATTTTCAGGGTCTGTTATGCATGCTGTCTCGCTGTTATGGCTATGACACTTGAAAAGAATACACCTGGACTTTTCTTTGAGGTTCACTCTTGTTCAGCGGACTGACTGTCAACCATATTCAACACATTTTAATAAGTTAATCTCTTCAGTGTCTTAGTTTGAGCTTTAAACAATAATCAACTCTTCCTTTCTTCCTACACTAGGATCTCTGCCAGCCCTTCTTCGAACTGTTTATATAATGGTAAACATCCAAGTCAGCGGTCCTACTCTGCCTTTGCCTGAACTGAATTGTAAATGCAAACTTCAGGCCGACTACTGCAGTTTGCACAGGTGCAGCACCTCAGCATCTTGTGACAAATGATGTATGCTTGTGGAAAAATCATATTATGAAGCACATTAACAGACTGACACACTGTTAATAAACCTGATGCACAGAGCTGTATTGCACTCTATGAAGTTGGCTAACACTCGCAATATAGTTTGTCTTGGTCTTTGCATAAATGGTGAGTTCTGGTAAAAAGGTCCTTAGATAAAATTAGAATTGGTTGCAGTTAAGGAGTTAAGATGTTTTTTCCAGGCCCAATTTAAAGTCATTACTTTGCACTAAAATCTCACCTATGTTAACACATTCCATTGTGCAGTGTAAAACTGAAAGTAAGCAGCTTTGTTCTTTATATGCTGACTGACTCAAACCAATGTACGTACACTTCTGCGTCACTGCACATCCGACAGACCCTTTATCACGGCAGGGTGGACACAGCTGCGCCCAATAAAATGAACCTGATTCAGGTGTGCAAATTAGCAAGCATTGATGACAATAGTGACTAGTTTTTGTACTTTCCTTATAAATCATGAGCTTCTTAAATCAAACATTATTGTGATATTACAGTAACAAATGAGCCAGAACCACAAGGTATTTGTTTCTGATGATCACATCAGTTCAGTTTTGAAATGCACAGCTGGGAATGGACCTGTTTCTATGATCAACTTGCCACATTGTCTGTTTTAAAGCTATGACTGCGCAGTCTTCCTCTGTCTTTTCACAAAGGTGAAAATGAGTCGGAAGGATCACTGCATCTGCATCATTTATCAGACGGAGATTCTGCAGAGAAATAAATAACAGATCCTTGAGAGACCTACAGCATGGCCTTTTCACATGAGTGACACAGACAGCAAAAAGCTTCTGTCTCCAATCAAAAGTGCTGGTTTTCATAAATAATGAAGCAAGTGAGTGCTTGTGGGTACTAAAGATCTTCTTGGTTTCTTGGTGCACGGTACAATACTAGGCTTTGGGTTTTCAAGAGACATTTTACGGACTGTATTTTATTTTGAATATGACCCAATTTTGTGTAAAGTTTAATTTTCAAAACAAAAGCCCCAAACCTATTTTAACTCAATGAATGCTGAAAATGTTGAAGCTCATATCTCAGAACCATCCTGAAGCCAGCTGCATCCTTATATCCATCAAGGTGTGGCAGGATGTTTGCTCACAAACTGACATTACTGTCAAACACCTGTTCACAGTCAATCTTTCATTTTCTTGTTACCATGTCTGTAAAAATATAGGATTGGTCTGAAGTTGAACCAAATGTAAAGAAACTGATGTGATTTCAGCTAAAGTTGTAGCCCGAGTTATATCATTTCTTTACAGTTTGATTGAATTATGTTCATTTGCCCATTTTTAAAAACCAAATGAATTAATTTTTTCAATACAACAACTCAACAATGCACACATATAGACATAACATTAAATGTAAATCCCTGATTTTCTGTTATGACACTTATTCAGCTGCAGCAATGCTTTTAATTCGTATGTACTGTAGAAAATATGGAAATTCTGACCTTTAATATTTTATACACCAACCAACCTGTAAGTGACAAATGTTATACCTCTCTAAGGGGGGGTCAAAGCACAACAGATTTCTGTCTTTTGGACACTTCAGTAGGTGAACACTTGGTACAAGTCTTTTCACAGGGCTTGAACACAGAGATTCAAGATGAAAAACAAGCTTGCACTCACAGCACCTCTAATGCCCTTCAGACTACAGTTTTAGACATGTATTATTTATTAAGGAGAGACCTAGAAACACATTTCTCTTCAGAGCCTGTGTAACCACTTTGGTATCTTGGATTTAATATATTTTTGATATGAATGAAATTTTTATTTCATTATTCCCTCCATTATTTGATGCCTGTCTTTCTTACTACCACTAGAGGTAGCTTCAACATTAGAATCTGAAGATGGAAAGTGAAACTCTTTGGGCCTTAAAGTATGATAATCGATACCTGAATCCGCACTTCAGCATAATTCAATTTAGTTAGACTCAGGTTTTCTGAGATATCCACATTTAATAATGAATAACCAATATTTACTCGTCAACAGAAATATTATATGTGCAATTTCATTTTGTTTTACTTTTACTATATGTTTTCAGAGTCAGCAAATCAGAACATATAAGTTTTTTTGTGCTGGTGATGCTGTAACAACACAGTTTTTCTTTTCAGCTTAATGACATAAAAGTGTAAGAGGAACAAATAAACAGTCTCATAAGTGGGGTTGACATGGTTGGCCTCTACACTGATTCCCCTACAGTCCCTGGACCAGCAACACACGCAGTGCCTCACATAGGTAATTCAGTTGTTTTTGGCTAGTGTCCTGTCGAGACAATAATGAGCTGCTAATTGCTAATTAGCAGTCTGTCCAGTCCACACTAAAGCTAAAACAGATGTACGGGCCAGCTTTCTCTGCCAGCATTCTTATTCCAGCCTCTACATCCAAGACAATGTGTTTTTATGGCATAACAGTGATGGAGCTTAAGATGTTGTAACGTGCCATTGTAATGCATGGTGGGACTCCTTCGCAGAGACAATCTCTAGCAGTGTAACTCTGAATGAGCTCAGTCAGCAGAGTGGTGTATACCATCCTGGAAAGTAGAGACAAGAGACTGAGATTCACTAAAAAAGGCAGATGGAGTTCTCAACAAGAAGGATGAAGATAAAACCAAAAGCTTATTTACCCAGGGAACAATAATGAACTAATCCAAGACCTTTGCCTTTGCTCAGTTTGATAACTGAAGTATGAGTTTGATTTTGAACAAAAAACTAAATATTTTAACACCATGATGCCTCACAACACTTAAAATAATGGATACATTGAACATTTTCATATGCGAAAACAATTGTATTTGCCACTTTGAGTACTGTGATAGTGAAGGACACAAAAACAATACATGGATTAAATATCATACATTACTTTATTGTAACCCCCTTTAGCATTTATATGCAGTTTATTACAATTATTACATTATACACACATGCATATAACATACATTTAATGTAGTTATATGTAGATTTAAGGACATTGTTAGTGCTTATAAATGTATTAATCAACTATAACTCCTCCTTTATTACTCTTCCTAAAAGCATCTGTAACTGATTGATGAACAATTAATGGATGCTTGATGGCATTATATATTGTATAATTACACTGCATTATAAATCATCCATTAAAAATGTGTGCATATGGATGCTTTAAGTTTTGACAAATACATTAACCCTTTTAAAATGTCCTTACATTTGATTACAAATAAGTTATTATAGAACCATTAAGTGTTTAGGAAGATAATGTTTGGTTAGTTAAGTTAAACAGCTTAGGAAGTAAAAAATAAAGCCACCTCAGGAAATAAAAGAAGAGAACCAGATACTTTTACACACAATAGCCAGCGGTGGCCCCAGAGGGAATCTACACATGGCAGTTTTGATGCCATGATCTACCGGTGGAGCAGCACAAGCCCACACTCTTTCTTGTTAACAGTTTTCAATGTAAATCAATAATGCATGCTTGTTGGCAGGCCCAGCAGTGCTTAGCAGTGATTTAGCGGACTGGCACACCCTAGGAGTAGGCAGGCAGGCAGCTGGGGAGCAATTCTGTTACATCGCTGATGATGAGTCCCCAGTGAAGCAGCAGTGGGACACCAGTGAGGCAAAGTCCAGCTGTAATATGTGTCAAACTTCCTCTCTGAAGTCTTGTCAAAGCGGAGATGACTGGAAATAATACATGGACACCTGGTATTAAAAAGTGTAACACTGGATTATTTACAGAATAATAAATGTGGAAGTCTCATCTGAAATGAGTAAAGTGAAAAGTGTTTGCAACATTATTCAAGCCTCATA